AAAGTAGGGACTGAAGTGACATGGCCATAGCCGAGGAATGCCGGCCGCCACCAGAAGCTGGAAGAGTGCGGGAACAGCTGGTCTTCTACAGCCTCCAAGAGAAGTGCATCCCTGCCGATGCCTTAAGTTCAACCCGACGATACTGATTTTAGACTTCTGGCCTCCAGAGCCACAAGAATAAAGTTTGGTTGTTGTAAGTCACTAGGTGTATAGCAATGTGTTAGAGCAGCCGCAGGAAACAAATATGGAATTCAAAGAATCGGATGGCATGAACATAACAAACCCCTTTCTTTTTCACTACTTATTAGGGGAACATGTTCTTTAACACTAATACCTGTAAAAATAAGAAAATGTGAAATAAAATTGTTGCCAAATTCTGTCTCACTCCAACAGAAGAATGAAAATTCTTTTAACTTGTTTTAAAAAATGGAGGAGAAAGCCCTCTACATTTTACAACACAGAGCTGCATTTCCAATTTACAAAATATTTTTGAAGATTACTCTTTATGTTTATAACTTTAAAATGTAAAAGAGTTACTTAGTTCTTCTAGAAAAATTTAGGGTTTACACATCCATAAAGAGAAGCACCAGTGTAGAAATTTCCCGTGTCTTCACTACAACCAGTTCAAAAAGTAGTTCAGATAACAGCTTATTTTATTAACTTCTCAAAAAATGTTCACTGTGCTACCAACGATTATTATGGCATTTATCTTTCTATCAACTTGGACTCTGTGTTTTGGCTCCCAAATTTCCCTAAATCATTATTTAAACAAAGAAGTGTGCTAAATGTGTAATATTTCTACCCTTACTTTCATTTTGTGCTACATTCTTTGTGTCCCAACCAACAACACCAAAAATAAAGAAAAAGACTATTCATAATTCTCTTCTATTTTTCTACGTCTGAAGAAACTCTTTGCCATATGATTGAAGCTATAAGGAACGGAAAAGCAAGGATATGGACTACGGTTCTGTATCCTTACCTAGACCTATGTGAGGCAGATGCTCAAAAAGGGTCCAGCTGTGGTCATCAATGTAATGATTCTTCAGGATCAACAGCTGGCAAACATCTCGGGCAGTTATGTCACTGGGTACCTCTACAGCCCTGCTGGTTTCATCTTCACTGTATACTTTAATTACCTGTGTAGGTAGAAATAAGAAAATGAGCTAAAATAGTCTATTAAAAAATATCACTCTAATAAGTCATCAAACTTATTGGCTGAGCTAATTACAAAGTCCTTATATGGATTCTTGTACATTTAATTTTCTAAAACACTGAAAAAATGTTGCCTATCCAAAACTTGTTCATAACATGTCAAATCACTATGTCTGACAACTTCTACTCTCTTCTCTTCAGTGTCTAAAGTAGAGGACGTTCAGTGACCATTTGCTGTCATTTCTCTACCACTCTGGTCTATTAAAGAGCTATATATCCCTTAACAATACTTAAAATTTTCCATTCCATATTTAAATCCTGTAATCCAAGTAACATGGGCTATTCATTCCCAGATATATACAGGTAGTAAAAGCAGTAAGTAAATCAGCCTTTATGGAAAGATGTCTCTATTTTCAGGTTCTTGAAACTTGGGCAAAGACTGGCTAGATGTGTACCAAATCATTTTTTTCCCCCTTGCAATTAGTTGTATCCATGGGATTGAGTTTTAGTCAATGGAATGTAAGCACATTCAGTGTTGCACTTTCAGGCCTCATCCATAAAGATCTCCCACATATTGTCCCCCATTGTTAGGCCACCCTCCCACTGAATGGAAATGACTGCAAGTCCCTAGAGGGAAGAAAAGCCATAGGACAAAAAGAGCCTTTATCCCACCATGACCACACGAAAGGTGCCCAACTAAGAACGCCCATATGGAACTTTGACATGAGCAAGAAATAAACTTTTATTGTGTTCACTTACCGTGAATTTGTATTTATCTATCACAGCAGCTAATCTTACTCTAAATTATACAGAATTAGAGAGAGTTTCATATACAACACTCCCCTTAACATTTACCAACTTGTGCTCTGTGCTGGAATCTCCATTATTAACTATGGTATGGTTGTATATTAATTAAATTAATTATAAGAAGATAAACACCTATGATAATAGTATAGTAAGATCAACATATACACACACAAGTGGGAAATGGTATGAAAATTCACTATAAGAAATACGCTTGTTACAAAAATAGACATTTCAACATTTTTAGTAATTCAAACAAATGCAAATAAAAATGATTTATCAATTTTGTCCTACCAATTTTTTTTAATGTTTATTTATTTATTTTGAGAGAGAGCACATGCACACAAGCAGGGGAGGGGCAGAGAGAGGAAAGAGAGAATCCCAAGCAGGATCTGCCCTGTCAACGCAGAGCCCGATGCAGGGTTTGGTCTCACGAACTGTGAGATTATGACCTGAGCCAAAATCAAGAGTTTCATGCATAACCGACTGAGCCACTCGGGTGCCCCTGTCCTACCTTTTTTTTTTTTTTTAAATTACACTTAATTACAGTGTGATGAAATACTTGCTCTCTTACAGTGATAGGAGTGATATAATTGGTAAAACTATTTTGTACACCTATTGGAAAGTATTCAAAAGCATTAAAAGGTCCATTCCGTTGACTCAGTAATTTCCCTTACGTAAACCATCTCAGTAAATCTGTCTTAAATGTGGAAAATGGCTTTAAGCATAGACATACCCAGCAAAGCGTTACATATAATTCTATTAATCTAAATATTCAACTATAAAAGAATGGTAAATGGCAGTACTTTCATAGAATGGAATATTATATAATGTCTCAGCATGTTATTCAAGGAAATGATATAGGAACTTTAAAAAATTCTTAGGTAAATGAAAATCATGACACCGAAGTATACTTTATGCATAGTACAGTGCAAATTTCCTTGGTAAACTGGCTACCAGGTACCTACCTGTCTTCTCTAACAATATTCTGGTTGCCTTTTAGAGCACACTCCCTCCCTCACCATCGGTCCTTGTGACCCCTGCAGCTCTCCCTCCAGCTCAGCCATGGAGACCTAGAGCTGCAGGGACAGGCTTACCAGAGCCGGCTGTTAAACACTCAGGAGCTGCAAGTCAGGCATCCAGCTTGAAATCAGCCGTGGTAGGAGCATGTATACAAAAACATGTCTTACCATACCGGTTCATACCACTGCCTCAGATCCGGATAGATAGTATCCAGACTGATCCACCAGCACCCAGAATCCCTCTGGCAACAGTTATTACTTCAGAGAAGGGCGTATGACCTCATCAGAGCCAGTCAGAGCCAATCTGGATATCTGTTCACATAACCGTAGAGTGGACCCTCTTTTCTATTGGGCAGACATAGGATGAAGCTGTTATTGTTCACAAAGAGAAAGAGTGTGGGAAAATGAGGCCCACGTGGAGTAAGCCACGCTAAGAGATGAAAATAATCTTGAGAATATCTCAGAGCCCCTGGAACAAGTGAATTTGATTTCTTTGTGTTTTTATATGTGCCGTGTCTACTGGTAACACCTACCTACTTTTCTCCCTTGCTCTAGCCATGGACCCCCTCCAGGTCAATCTCCATACTGCTGGCAGAAGAAACTTGCTTATTGCCAATCCAATCAGGTCGTTCTGCTACTAAGATTCTTCAGTGGCTCCTTGTTGTCCCAACTCAAGCAGCTGATCATATTTACTAAGACCCCTTACGAGGTGCACATCCTTTGCTAAGTGTTTTAATATAAGGCTGTCTGTCACAGACAGAGACTGTTGTTCATTTCAGAGAGCTTAAAGTCTAGTAGGGAAAGCAGTATTAAAAAAATAATAATTACCAACTAGAGCATAAAAGTATGGCATATTACTAATCATAAAATGGGGCTTAGGTTAGGGTGAGAGACCGACCTGAAAGGTATCTGTGAAAAAGTGATAATGTAAGCCAAGACTTGAAGAGTGGGCTAGAGCCAGGCCAAGAGAAGGTGAGAGCATTTCAGCTAAGGGAACAGAAGTCCCTTGGGTAAGAAGGAATTTGGCAAGTTCTAAAGACTGAGAGGAGTCAGGGATGGCAGGAGCAGCAAAGAAGAAGGAAACTGAGGTGGTGGGTAGGATGGTGGTAATAGGGATGTATGGTTCTAAGTTCAGAATTGACTTAAGAACCATTGAGCTTTTAAGTTATAAACAAACCCATGGACACGGATACGCCTGGCGAGGGAGAAAAGGAAAAACAAAAGAAAAAGAGAATCTAGGACTGAACCCTGAGAAGTACCAATACTAATGGTGACTTAGAGGCAAGAAAGTCTGAAAGATAACATGAGGTAGAAAGGGACCCAGGAAAGTGGGAACACATGGAATAAAGCCCAAACTCTAGGATGCACACAACATGTACATTCTCCAGGAAACCAGCCTATATTACAGGTCATTCTACGATCCTAGCCAAATAGGTCAGGTACTTGTAAGCTGTTCTTTTTTAGTTGCATGTGAGGTACCCTCTAACTGGGATCAACACTCCAACCACCAACAACGTACCTTATTTGGCAAATTCCTACTTACTGTTTGGCCCCAGTTTCCGTGGCACTTCCTCCAGAAGGTCTTCCCTGACTGCCCAAGCCTTTGTAATTTATATTACTCTTTTACATACTCTTATTTTATAATTTTCTATTTGCAGGCCCTTCTCCTCAATTGTACTAATAAATTTCTTCAAGGAAAATCTCTGTTTATTTACCATTTGACATCATATTTCAAGTACCTGGCCCAAGGCAGCGTATGTATGGCTTAATAAAGATCTTCGGAACAAATGAACTTTGTACCCCTGTAGAGCCAAAGCGTTTTGACATAGTAAGTACTCAATACCTATTTATAAACTTTAATTTAAAAATATTTTGTCACAAAGTGTATGATTATTAAATCGTAATGCTCAGTAAATTCAAATTCTTCTCAATGATCCACAGATATACATGTTTTCTTACAAACAGTCCTAGGTAAGAATTGACTCAATATCGCTGTTTGTGGGCAGTTCTGAGTTTCGCAGTCATTGAGGTTGCTACATAAGGTCATATGAGAAAGGTCGTGAAAATACATCGCCAAGATCAGATGCAACTGTTTGACCTTTCACATCAATTCACTCGTTTTCTGGTTAACACATGTGGTTCACAAAGATCCCAAGATCTGCCTGTAATCTCCGTGTTTCCCCTGACTGCAAGCAGGGAGGCTAGTGTTCTTAAGGGCGTGTCCTGAGGACCTGTATCTGTGACAGACAACCAGTGGGATTCTAAGGGATGCTGTCCACTGCACCTCCACGTGCTCTGGCTGACGCTGACTGGGTCAGGCCCTGCTGCATGCTCCTGACAAAGACGACCACTCTTGAGAGGAAAAGAGGATCCAACCCTGTGACTGCTCCTTCATGTGCCACGATGATGAGCCACTGTCTCAGTTCCCTCAGAGGCCAGCTGGCAAATCTCACGTCAGGAGATGGGGGGCAAATGGGAATGACATGGAGGTCGCTGGGAAGGCTTCCCGACTACCCATGTTTTCTTACAGAAAACTCCCATCACCTGGGCTAACAGAAGTATGCCTCTTACTTTTCATGCTCTATTTTTTCTTATCTACTATATTTTTATATTAAAGGAAATAAATTATAAAAAAAAAAAACAACAACTAGAGACATTCTGAAGCCTAAGCCAAATTCAAGTAGTGGGCAAGAACTGAACAAGAGGCAAAGGAAAAGGCATCTAACCAATTAGGAAATGCCATTATTTTCTTCAGACTATATTACTGCAAATTTGAAAGAAACAGGTTGCCAAGAATGAAGACACATAAATTTAGAAGGGCTAGGCCAACTCAAATTTTTAGAATAGGTGCATGTACTCATTTTAAAATAAATAACACCCACTGGAAGAAAAGCTTGGTACTTTTGTTCGAGTTCCATTTTAAATTTGTATTTTTTACCTCTTATTTAATTGACATTTATCCAAAGTACATATTTACCTAAGAATGATAAAATTATATTTTAATTGATATTCCACAGGAATAAATTCCTGTCATCTCTCAAATCTACTCAATAATTGTGAAAAATTCTTTATACCACAAAGGGGTGTCTTGGTTAAAAGTCTCACTTTATGAGTATTTATTTCTCCTTAAAATATACGAAAAAGGAAATGCTAATCTA